AAGGAAATAATCAAAAGAAAAGACAAATTTTGAGGACCAAAATGTACAAGATCAAAAGTGAGGGATTTAGCATGCAGTTAGCAGAGAATAGAGCCACAACTTGGCATGTGTCAGGCATTTTCTACAATGTGAAATTACGATAAGTGTACGATATCAAGTTTTGTAATATAATATTGGGAATGGAGTATCGAACCCACAGGAATTGATGTTTGATTCTTACCAATTATTACAATTATTTTAGCTTTTATTTTGTCTAGAAAATTAAATTTAGAATCAATGTTTTAATATTAATCTAATGTGGATGTGATGACAGTTCAAGCAAATTATAAGAGATTTATCGACAAAAGAAAGCCTAAGGAATGATCTCACCACCCTATCAACAATGTTTTTCAACTTTTATAGTTATTTCTATCGATTTTTTTCTTAAATTTATAGGCAAGAACCTTGGATTAATTCTATTCCCTCTCTCAAGTGTCGAATAAAATCTATCTCTATATTTTAATTTCAATATCTCTATTCCAAATCAAACATATAGAAATAATCAAGTACATGATTTTTAAGTGGAATAAGCCTCAAAAATTGCATATTTCTCTCGAAACCTACAAAATCTAAGTTGTGGTACTCTTAGATCAAGCCTAAATTTCCATCTTTCGAGTGCTGAAATTTGGAACATCAAATCATTCAGTTATTGATCAGGAAATTGAAAAAAATGTGTAAGAATTCACACAAATAAATTAATGGAAAGATAAAAAGAAATAACGATAGTAAAATCCAAACATATCTCAAGTTAGGTTACATTAAATCCTAGATTTAGAATTTATGAGTTCATAGTTGAGAAAAATAACATAATCAAATCCAAAAGAAGAACATGGAGAAAAAGAGTGGAAAAAAAAAAAAAAAAGGATTTACCGCAGGAATTCTCCTCCAACGTGTAGTAGCTCTTTCCCTCGACCAATCTCTCTTTCTTTTCCTGAGCCGTGTTCCCTTCTTCTTCTTTTTATTTTTTATTATTTTTTTTTAAGTCTTCAAGTTTGTATTTGTACTCCTCTAATGTTTCAAGATGAGTTGGGGTTGGACCGGATCAAAAATATTAAAAAAAGCTGATATTCTCTTTCTCGGCTAGCGGAGTAGTGCGCCTAGAATCGGCGCTGCAATGCCACGATGGCTACTGCTAGCACCGTAGCGCCCAATGGTTGGCCCTGCTTCTTCCTTCTTTGGTTGGGTGCTGGGTCCATCTCTTTGTTTGTTTTGGGTATCGCTTGGGCATCCAAATGTGGCACCGTGGCTGCCCAAGTGCTTCCTGCGCCTCATTTGCTCATGTTCTAACCTCTTTTCCACTTCATTTTCTCTCATTTCATCTCCATTTCATGCCTACTTCTATGATAAAAAATTTAGCTCCATTCTAAGCTTCAAACTGTGCAATTTTTTCCAAATTGTCTAAACTACAAAACGCTCAAAAAGTGCTCAAAAGAAAATTGAAAACCATGATTTAGAGGTGCTAATTCAATGAGTGAATTACACTTATCAGCATGCATTTGGGCAATAGAAAGAACGCATTGTCTGCTCGATTGCGTTAAGAACGTTGGTTCAGCCACGCCAGTCATTTCTATGAATTGGAGATTCTTTTGGGGGCTTTTTCAGACATTTGTTAGGGTTCGTTTTTAAGTAATTTATAAGCCTATTTTCAGTCATTACAAGCCATTCTTTTTTCATTCATTTGGGAGCTAAAGAGAGAGAGAAGAACAAAGGGAAAGGAGAAATATCAAGCAAGGTCGAAGGAATTTTGGGAGAAATCAAGACCAATCCGTACCATTGCGTCAAGAATCCAACCAAGGGAAGAATTCTACCTATTGTCTTGTATTTCTTCCTTTATTTTCTCTATTTTGTAATATGTTTCTCGAACTTTCTAGTTTGTATCATTTTCATACAATGAATTAAGTTATAAACGATGGTGTTTATTTTATTCATCAATAGGGCCCTGGTTTATCACTTTTCTAAGCGGGATCGATGAGTTGAAGTCATAAGAAAAGATCTTTCTCTTCGCATCTCAAATCAAGAAATGGAAAAACTTAACCTAGCTTGATTAATTTTAAGTTTGCTCTTTAATTTTCAAGTACTTATTTTCGTGTGTATTTACTATCGTATATCAAGCTATTCATTTATTTGGCGAATAAATAACTATGTTTACTGAATTGCATAATATTTGAGAGAATATTGTACATTTTAAACTAAATAGTAAATACCATAGGTTTTTGTAGGAGATGGAGATATACTCCTATTCTTGTGTGATTCATTGTGCTATTTCACAAAGTTAATTGAGTTTTAATCGAAAGAGAGATATAGTAAGTTAACCAATTAATTAGGGCTAATTTCGCTCTAGAGAGGTAATTAGTAAAAACAGGAAAATCGGGTCTAATATATATATTAACCCCAATTTTGGTACCAATTAAAATCTAAATTTTAATTTAAATCAAAGTCAACAATCAATTTTAACCACATATTTCATGGGTCCTATGGCTTTTCAACTACACATTTCATCAATTTTTACCAAAAATCTCCTGAAAACCTTATTTTAATTCCTTCCAAACAGGGCCAAATGAGTAATTAGACGATGGTTAAATGAAATCATGAATTTCAATTATTTTACCTTTCCAATTTCCCTAATTTTAGATTTGTTATTTTGTAAAGTTTTTAGTATTTTTGTTATTTTAAGAATCAAAATCTTATTGTATGTTATATTATTAGAATTAAATTAATTATTGTGTAATTAAACATTCCTTGAGGGATTGACTTGGATTTATAGTCCATTTTATTACTTGCACGTGACCCATGCAATTGTGGTTTATAATTTTAGCAAATAATATCCAATATATCATTCCATAAATTGAGAAGAATCACAGCATTTTACATAGTTCATAGCACAACTTAGGAATATAACGCATCATAAATGTCTTTTGTGTTACATTGAACTTGATAGAAAACTAGTATACCATAATTAAAATTTATTCCTCATGGGATAATTCAACTCATTTATTATTATTTGTCGACAATTTCCAACGCTTAAGGGATTTACATGAACAATGTGTATCGTACTATTTGATATTTGGATACATGTACTTATTAAGGATCTTGATGGTCACTCTGATAGCCAAGAATACGGTATTGAGAGTCCGACACTAGTATAAGGACAGTGTTAGGAGGTCCTTAGGTGGCAAAAAAATGAATTGGCATACGCATGCACCATATATCGAGGACATACATATTTGGTGATTTATATACCGACGGTTTTCCTAAGTGGTTGTAATGAGTGAGACACGTTAACTATGGACTTTGAGTGGAATAATGCTAAAGAAAGTGTAAGGAAGAAATTAATTCTTGAAAAATCAATAGCAATAGCTTGCTTGCTATCGAATATATTGATTTGTGACTTCATACGATACCTCAAGTAGGATTTGAAACCCAAAAAATAAAAATAGCATAAGTTGATATTTTGATAAAATGATTAAAATATCATGCACATGATCATGCATATAATTATTTATTACGTCCTTGTTTGAACCACATTATTTTCATAAGAATGCATTTTTGAATAATGTATTGATATGAAATATGTGGTTAAAAAATAAGAAATTTTTTTGGATTTGCGTATAATATTATTTTATTGGAGAATGTGTGGTTGAAATGATGTTAAATCACTATTTAAGAGCATATTTTTTTTTTTTAAATAGTGAAGGTCAAACAGGGCCTAAGTATTTAATTGTATAGTTTTGCATTGTAGGTGTGCAGTGCTATAGTGGAGGTTGGTGCCTACTTTCAAATGATATGACGATTTTGTAGTAGATACTTGACAAAGGTTTAGCAAGCTGGTCGTGAGAAAAATGAAAAACGTTATGATTGATTCTAAATAATTCATATATTTTGGAAATATTGAAACATATTTTATAAATATGATTCCCGATCGTGTTCCTCTACTAACTAGACTCGTTGGTAAAACACAGTCAAGCTTTGTTCCTAGGAAGCACACCATTGATTCCAAGAAACATTGCATTCAATGAGAACTTTGAAGTACAAAGTAGGGCTATTGCTATTAAAATAATTTTGGACAAGGCTTATGACAGACTGTAATGGACATTCTTGCAGTCATTTCTAGAGGAAATTAGTCTTCTTGATTCATTGGGTTACTCTTATAATGTTCATGGTAAAATCCACTTCTTTTGCAATGTTAATTGAATAGAGAGTGTCTTCTTTATTTCAATCCTACGAAGGGAATGCGTCAAGGTGACCCTCTTTCACCTTACTTATTTGTTTTGTGTTTGGAGAAGCTATCTCATTTGATTAATAATGAGGTGAGGAAAGGAAGCAGGAAGCTGGAAACTGTTCATGATTACTAGGCATGGCCCTACTCTCACACATTTCTGTTTCACTGATGATTTAATGCTATTCGGAGTGGTCACTCAGAGCTAGCAGAGGTAAAGATGAATGTTATAAAAATATTTTGTGATGCCTTGGGGTGAGAAAGTAAGCCTTAGCAAGTCAAGGCTTCTAGTATCTTCAAATATATCTCATGATCAAGCAATGAGACTTAGTAGCTTTTGTCAAATTCATTTAACCAGGGACTTTGGGAAATATTTGGGAACACCTATGATTCATGGTCGAGCCATCAAGAAGACATGTCGGAATATCTTTACCAAAATTTAACGTCTCTTAGTGTAGGAAACAAAAGTCTATCCATGGCGGTAGACTGACTTTGGTTTAGTTAGTACTTTCTACAATGTCAAGTTATTTGATGCAAACAATTTATTTACCGGACCATGTTGTTAATGAGATAGAGAAGCTGATTCAAAATTTATTTATTTATTTATTTTTTTTTTTTTGGATAACCCAGGAACCCGCAGCCGCTACTGGCGGAGCCCCGACCACTCTTAGAGCGGAGGCCCGACCACCAGTGCGCACTAGGTAAACCTGGGGGCTGGCACAAGACCGGCAACCACACTAGCCGGTTAAATCTTCTCCAAGGAGAAGGCGGATGTCTCAAGCGTGGGTTGAACCCTCGTCGAAGCCAACCCAGTTTCCCAGGCCATGCCTTTTTGCCAACTCGGCCACACGCTCTCATATAAATCATTGAACATGTATTCTCTCATGGCAACTATATGTAGCAGATAAAAGAAGTAAAGCTATGGAACGTTGACAAAAAATATTGTGTATAAAAATGTGTTATTGTAATCAAAACATTACATTTTAGATTATTTGACTTCTTGACATCATATACATAATTTCATGAAAAGAAAATTAATTCGTCTGTACTGAATAAAATGCAGTATGGTTAACAAAAATTGGGTTTCCCGGCAATAATCGGTCATGACGGCAGACAATAGTGGTGGTGCAAGACATGAAGAGACGAAGAGGATTTGGGTTTTCTTCAATTGAATTAATTCTCTCAATTAGCTCTACATCTGCGGCGTTATGTTTAGATTGGAATCCTGAAGCTAGGGTAGGCTATTATAAAAAAATAATGATACTGAATTTTTTTTCCAAAATAAATGCTAAACATAATACCCCTATCTCGAATAGCCATTTTTTTTTCTGGTTCTAGTAATCAGATACTCTGGTTCCAATTTATGGGATTCGGTTCGGATCGAAACACCTACCGCTTAACCAAATGGTCACCAGCTCTTTTCTGGAAGGGGGAAAAAAAAAACGAAGAAGAAGAAGAACTCTATTTGTAAAAGTTATACTCATAAAAACTCTATTCACAACAATCGTGCCAAACGGATCCCATATGAAATTATTGAAAAGAATTAAGCCAGGAGTCAAAATTGACAAGATCCAATATTTATATTAGAATTTAACATCATTCAAAATATTGACAAACAACAAACACAATTACCAAAACCATGCTGTTGGAATAACAAAAACAAACAATTGTAAGTAATCAAGAAACTAAAGCAATCAACAACAATGTGGAGACGAAAATAAATGGTTAAAAGAAACTTAATTCTTCAAGCTAGGATTGGAAGTAGTTCCTGTATCAATATGCCTGGGCAGAGTAATAAAGCTTGATCATATAGGGCATTTATTGTAAATCCCATAAGGCAAATTACTCCAGCCAAATCCAGCCTGCAAACTAGGGTACACCAAAGGAAAAAGTAAGCAACGAATTCCCTTCTATTTGCAAATGCACACCATCCCATTTGTTTGCAATTCTTTCATTCGGATTGCTATGTCCCGCATTTTTTGGTCAGCCAAACATCCCATTTCGATCAGATGACTTAGAGAGACATTTTGCAGACTTGTAAAACCAGCCATGCATTGATGCATCAGAATTTCCGTGTCTTTTATTCTGTTATCTCTTTGTAGCTTCTGAATTCGTACTCGAGATTTACGAATCCTTTGGTCAATACTTGATACTTGGTCGAACATTTTTCGGGTTTTTTCCGCTTCTGGTAGGGCCTGAAATCTAGAAATAATCTGTTGAGTTACCAATGGTGACGGCCAAACAAAAGGCTCAGCTTCATAGGGACTGTATATCATAGCGCAAGCATCAATACCGCAAAGGATGCTTAGTTCTTGCACCTTTTTTAAGATTCCATTCTTTCTCTTTTTAAACGATGACTTCCGATCTGTGTTGTTCTCAATGTACTTGAGCATAATTTTTCTTCGCGTCATTGTGTAGTTTACGCTTTTTGGAAGGTGAAAATGATGTTTGGAACATATTTTTTATTGCCAAAAGATGGTATTTGTAAATGTAAGAATGAAACAAGATGGGGTTATTTTGATAGTTTTACCTTCATTTCATATGACATGTAGCAAATTTTTTTCTCTTTTTAGATTTACCAGTAACTTAAATACCATAAAAATCACGTGGATAACAATAATAATTTTATAAGATTTTTTATATTATTTTCCATGTTTGGAAAGTCCAAAACGTTATTGTTCAAATGGATTCAAAATTCTGAGGATTATCATTATTCCAATTTAGTTTAGGCAAAACTAGAAAATAATAGAGTAATAACTAATGCATGAAAATGGTTAAAAAGGGAAGAAATCTCCTCGCCATATAATGTGTATTGCTATTACATTATAACGAAAGCATGCTCAAAATAATGAAAATATGCACAAAAGGTTGAAGCGAAATAGAAAAAAGGCCTTGACATCGGCTTAATTGGATACTGAAATCAGGGTCTGCCCTGATATTTTTGGGGCCTTATGCCAATTTCAAATATAGGACTTCTATATTTTGAACTTTCTTATCAAGAGTTTTAATATAATTATGAAAAATCTAATACAAACAAATAAGTTCCAAAATTTGAAGAGGAAAATACCAAATGTCAAATTTCAACATGCAATACAAATTATAAGTGAAGTTTCGACAAGCAAAGCTACAATGCAATGGCAAATGGGTATGTTCGTTTCTTTTATAATTTTCTCACTGCAATTATTTCAAATAAAATTGAATATACATTTGAATGATTTATGTACAAAATTAGATAATGTTAACTGTAAGAGATAGTATAACAAAATAATGAAAATGACGATCGAATACACTTTAATTTTATATTAATTCATAAAAAATTAACATACAAATAAGAAGTATGCATATAGACGAATAATTATTAAATTCTAAATATTTTCAACAACTAAAAAGGCTATTATCATGAGATTAAAATAAAACAATAATAATAAAAGCCTATATACTTTAATTTTATATTAATTCTTAAGAAGTTAAGATACAAATAAGAAGTATGCATATGGGCGAATAATTATTAAATTCTAAATATTTTCAACAACCTCTAAAAATGCTATTATCGTGAGATTAAAACAAAACAACAATAATAAAAGCTTATATACTTTATAGTATATGTTTTGAAGATAAGGGAGAAAGAAATAAATCAGTAAGACTGTAACAATGGCAGTGAGACCATACCCATCTGTTAAACTGAATCTTTAAAATTTTAATTCAAATGAAGATAATTTATTTCTAAATGATACTATTTACAGTCGCTCGCTACCGTAATCGCCTTATGTGACATATATGTAGTGGTTAGTAATTTGATGCACCCAATTACTAATCGTCACATGTATATCATATAGGGCAATTATGTTGGTGAACGTCTGCAAATAACATTACCCTTTATTTCTTGTTGGGTTGAAAAAAATTATGATGGGTGAGTGAAACTTGAAGAAACAAAAAGAGATTTTCTTTGGTTAAGAAAAGGAAAGAAGTATTTGGAAATTAAAGTGTCAAATTAGTCATGGAGAGAGAAAGTAATGTTTGTAATATATTTATATAATAAATAAATAAAAGTGATAAGTTTTATGTCATTTATATATTTTTTAAAGGATTTTTTTATTTTCAATTTTTATTAGTTTATTGTGTTTGCATGTGATAATTCTATTTGAAAGAATTTTATAAATATAATTTTCGTTTTTCTTCAACCAATCAATTAACCTTATATAATTTGAGGTCCTCACCAAAGTGGGGCTTTAACTCGCCTATAGTCAGAGCCGCCGTTGATTGACACCAATATTACAACATGCTCACGTGTAGGTGATTTTTTAATACTTGAAAAGGTAAAGAAGAAATACATACAAAGTTACAAAGCAATAAAAGCACATAAGGAAAAGAATAAATAATTTCATGGCATACATGATTCAGAATCACAATTGAACCTAATATCGCGTTAGATGTTAATTAGATGACAAGTTCAAATATTGAAATCTAAGGTTAAAGAACTTTGCTATTTGTACATTGATTTTTGACACGTTCGTTGTGCTTTGCCTACTGTCTTTGAATAATGGTCAATTCCAAGGCCGAAAAGAAAGCTTATTAGAGCATTGAATGGACCTCTGAATCTTTTGCGCTAATTCCATCAATTGTTGGGGGAGGGTGGTTGTAGATCCGCTGCTAAACTCATTTGGAAACTGACCCCTTCAAGCCTATAGCCGGCAAAGTCACTCACAACGGAGAAAGGGACCCCGTCCCAATTCAAGGAAAAATATGATAGTCTACATTGTTGTCAAGTGTCAATTGGATGGAAAAACTGTTTGAAATTTAAATTGTCAAATATGATAATGATACATGACAAAGTGTAAACTAAATGGTACACCACAGTGTACATGTAGCAAAGTTCAGGAGCCCTTTTTGCCAATCAACAATATCTATGTTCAAGCATCGTCTAATGCAATTTTTTACTAATAATTAGTTCTGTTGAAACTGTCCAACCACTCGGTGTTGGTGCGATGCCTCCAAGTACACGAGAAAGAGATAGATGAACAAGGGGGAAATTGCAAATCTTGACCCATGAAAAACCTGACTTCAAGTTACATGTTGACACTTTTTCCATCATCAATTCTATGATATATTGTGGAATACATATACGTCTCATGATACAATTATTGTGTTGACCATCAAAATTTATCGATGTTTGTATTCAAGGTCTTTAATTTGTCTCTCAAGAATGACAAAGTATAAACAAGATTTTTGTAGGAAAAATGACGCAAATGATAAGTTTGTTATGCATGAAAATCAAGGGAATGCAAGTGTTATATGGGCTTGTCCAACCCAAGAAGAAAAAGCCCAATCCTCTTTATTTTCGGTCAACAGAAGTGGCTACATACACATATATAGTCTCAAAAACCATTGATGGTGTGCAAGAAGAGACAAAACCAAGGCTGCTGGGAAGAAAATTAAAACCATGGCTACTATATAAAATACAGAGAGACTCTTGCTTGAACTAAAAGAAGAAAACCAAGCTGCTAGAAGAAGGAAAAATAATTGGAAGGAAAGTTTTCTTTTAATCTTTTGGGTGTAGATTTACACAAGATTTATTCTACATAATACAAATTGGAACTTTTCTAAGGTTTATTTTGGGTATTCTAGAGGTGTAGCATTCCAAGTGAGTTCTCACAATTTTAATCAAATTGGTGATTTGTGGTGAGATTAGTTATTGTCCTTAGAGAGTAATTATTGTGTATTTCCAATTTGTTGAGAATTCAAATTTTGGAGCATAGACTTGAATATTGTAATCTATATTTTTATTATAGTGGATTTGGTCGTAGTTGCCCTGTCATTTTTTTCCCTCTACACTGGAGGATTTTTTCAATGTAAAAAGTTGGTGTTACGTTTTGCTTTTTTTATTTTGATCATCTATTTGCATATTCAATCACTCTAGTTGGTTGCTTGGATTGGTGAATTTATTCTTACAATAAGTGAAATTGCCTAACAAAGTGGTATTAGAGCTCATGTTATGTGAATGTGATTTATTACGGGAATAAAAGGAGAATATTTCGGGCACTATGATTTAATTAGTGGTTTCAAATTATTCTATTTGGAAGCTTATGATGGAGGATATCATTTATTATAAGGATTTACATAAACCTATTGAATGTGATGGTGCTAAACCAAGCACTATGAGTGATAGTAACTGGAAGGAGATGAATGAAAAAGCCATTGGATAGATTAGATAGTGGGTTGACTTAATGTATTTCATCATGTATCTCGCCCGTAGTCTTTAGGAAAAAAATGGGGAGTCTGTAGGAAATGAAAACTACTCAAAATAAAACTTTTGCTATTAAAAAGTTTGTAAATCTGAAACTAGAGTAGGGAGAATCAGTTGCTGAGAATTTGAGTGAATTCCAATACTTGATAAATTAGTTGATCACAATGAAAATAGTGCTAGATGATGAGATGCAAACACTATTACTTCTGAGTTCATTGCCTGATAATTGGGAGACTTTGGCTATATCACTTAGTAACTCTGTTTCGAATCGTGTGCATGAACTTACTTTAGTTGACAATTTGTTTAATGAAAAAATACGAAGGAAGGACTTTGGTAGGAACGATGCACAAGCTCTTATTACAGAAAACAGAGGAAGGAGTAAAAGCAAAGGTCCTAAGAGACGTTGTAACTTCAGAAGTCAATCAAAGATAAGAGGAAATGTCAAATGTTTTTATTGTGACAAAGAGGGTCATATAAAGAAACATTGCATGGCTTGCAAAAATAAATTGAAAGAGGAGAAAAATCAGAAAAAACTAATCAAAATACAGTCGCTAGCGCTTCAGATGAAGAAGAATTAGTAATAGTTTTTTCGCTGAAGATGAGCAGTGTTGTCATGTTGCAGATTCATTTGTTGAATGAGTAATTTACTCAACGGCTTCTTACCATGTTACTCCAAGACGAGAGCTCTCCACTTCATACAAATCAGGCAACTTTGGTAGGGTAAAGATGGTTAATGACAGTTTTGTCAGTATTATGGGAATTGATGATATCTCTCTTCAGACAGATATTAAATATAACTTGACATTGAAGAATGTATAACATGTTCCCGACATGTGCTTGAATTTGCTATCTATACATGCCTTTGATGAAACAGGGTACGATCGTTATTTTGACAACGGAAGATGGAAACTAACAAAACGGTCGATGGTATTTGCTAGAGGAAAATTTATTGCACACTTTACAAGACACAAATAAAGGTGTGTAGTGAAGCGATAAATACAACTAAAAGTGATTCATCACTAGACTTGTGGCACAAGCGATTGGCTCACATGAGCTAGAAAGGACTACATATTTTGGCAAGGAAGTCTCTCATTCCTTTTACCAAAAGTATATCATTAAATTCATGTGATTATTGTTTATTTGGTAGACAGCATCGAGTTTCCTTTAAAAAATCCTCTAGTAGAAAACCTAATATTTTAGATTTGATTTATTCTAATGTTTGTGGTCCCATTGAGGTGGAATCCTTAGGTGATATATTTCTTACTTTTATTGATAATGCTTCACGAAAGTTGTGGGTGTTCTTTTTTAGATCAAAAAATTAGGTTTTCCAATATTTCAAGAAATTTCATGCTATGGTAGAATGGAAAAGTGGAAAGATTTTGAAGTGTCTTCGAACTAATAATAGAGGAGAATACACGTCTAAAGTGTTTGAAAATTACTGGTCAGAACATGGAATTAGACATGAGGAGATAGTACTTGTACTCTACAGCATAATGGTGTGGTAGAAAGAATGAACCATACCATTGTAGAAAAGGTCAGGATCATGTTAAGGATGACTGGGTTACGTAAGTCATTTTGAGGTGAAGCAGTTTGAACAGCGTGCTACTTAATTAACCGATCTCCATCAGGTCCTTTAGATTTTGAGATTCAAAAAAAATTGTGGACAGGAAAAGATATTTTTTATTCTCACTTAAAGGTTTTTTGGTATAAAGCATTTGCACGTGTGGCTAAGGAACAAAGGGTGAAGCTAGATAATAAAGCTAGTCCTTGCATTTTTTTGGCTACGAAGATGTAAAATTTGGCTATAGACTATGACATCCAGAAAAGAAGAAAATAATCAGAAGTAGAGATGTGATCTTTCATGAAAATCAAAAGTTGGCGGATTTCGAGAAATTTGGGATTCAAAGACGTGTTGATAAGGGTGTCACTGACCTTATAATTGTATCTTTGCCTCCAGATAGTGCCACTCAGGGGATAGAGACACATGTTGACGATCATACTGATGAACCAACAGGGGTTGATGATGATGATTTAGAGGATATTGAACAGGGAGAGTAGCCTACTATATCATAACCTCATATCAGAAGATGTAATAGACAGCATCGTTTATCAACCAGGTATCCAGCATCAGATTATATGTTGGCAATTGATGAGGGAAAGAAAAATGTTTTCAGGAGGTACAATCTTATAAAGACAAATAGAACTGGGTGAAGGTTATACATGAAGAGATGAGTTCTTTATAGAAGAATAACACTCATGAGTTTGCAGAGTTTCCTGAAGGTAAAAAGGCATTAAAAACGAAATGGGTGTTCAAGGTAAATAAAGATTACGAAAAGCTAGTGAAGTATAAAGCTCAACTGGTGGTGAAGAGTTTCGATCAGAAAAAATGGATTGACTTTGATGAGATATTCTCTCCTGCTGTCAAAATGACTTCCATTCGAGTAGTTTTAGGTTTAGTAGCCAGTTTGGATCTTGAGTTTGAGCAGTTAGATGTGAAGACCACTTTTCTCCATGGGGATTTGGAGGAAGAAAATCTATATGGTTCAGCCAGAAGGATTTGAAGTAAGAGAAAAAGAGCATATGGTTTGCATATTGAAAAAGAGTTTATATGGGTTGAAACAAGTTCCAAGACAGTGGTATAAGAAGTTTGATTCCTTTATGGTGGATCATGGTTATACCAGGACAGATGCAGATCATTGTGTTTATATCAGAGAATTTCGTAGTGGTAACTTTATCATCCTTTTGCTACATGCAGATAATATGTTGATAGTGGGACAAGATGTGTAGTTGATTCGAAGTTTGAAGGTATATGTATTCAAATCGTTTGACATGAAGGATCTTGGACTACCAAGGCAAATTTTGGGGATACATATTCATCGTGATAGGAAAGCCAGAATGTTATGGTTATCACAAGAGAAAGAGAATGCTAGAAATGTTTAACATGAAAAATGCTAAACCAATTGGAATAGCACTTAGTAGCCACTTCAAACTGAGTAAGGTGACTTGTTCTTCTAAGAAGGAAAATAAAGAAAGAATGGCAAAAGTTTCTTACTCCTCAACAGTTGGGAGTTTAATGTAACCCATGATTTGTACACGGCCAGACATTGCTCATGCAGTTGGGGTAGCCAGCAGGTTTCTTGTTAATCCCGATAAAATCATTGGGAGACAGTGAAATGAATCTTTAAATACTTGAGAGGAACTTTAACATGTGCTTGACTTTTGGAGTTTCAAAACCAATTTTGGAGGGTTGTATAGATGCAGATATGACTGGTGACCTTGATGATAGAAAATCAACTTCAGAACATTTGATTACTTTTGTAGGGGGAGCTGTTTTGTAGTAGTCAAAAATACAAAAGTATATTGCCTTATCTACAACTAAGGTTGAGTATATTGTAACAATTGAAATAGCGAAAGAAATGCTTTCGATGAAATGATTTCTGTAAAATTTGGGTTTGAAGCAAGACGGATGACATGATCCATCCCGAATCACCTTAGTGGACTCGACACGTGTCTTGTGCCGATTGTAGATACCAGTTGAACTCGGACCCACCAATAAGGCACCTTTACTTATTTGATTAAAAATATTTTTAACAAAATTTTGACATAATTTTCCCTGAAATATGAACTAAAATCACCTGAACAATAACCAATTTTCCTCAAACCAATATTTATAATATGAATAGGGTAAGACAGTTCTTCAAAATATAAACTATTCAAATCAAATGTTGGCAAATCAACATTTACTTGCTCTATAACCAATAATCCTTAAATATACTAAAAATACCATATATTTAATGAGCCCATAATGAACTTTTCTTATTTAAACTACATGTATCCCAAAAAAACACATAATGTATAATCTGATAAAGGATGTCATACAGCCTATGACGAGTGGCTCAAATCGGTGGTTCGACAGGCTCCAAAGCTGCTCAATTCGGCTGCTATTTGTTCGATAAAGAAAAAGGTGAAAAAAAATATATGAGCTTAAAATTCAGCGTGTGGATATTTTACAAATAAGTAAACTTTTCTCATTTATGCATATTTTCTGAAAATTCTTGCACTACTAAAACTTTTAGAAATTCTGAAATTTGGTAACACTTTTAAAACCAAACATGATTGCATCATAAAATCATTTGTTCTTAATTCTAGATAAGCAATTGTAAAATATAATGACTATAAATAATATAATACCATGAAAATCTATGAAATATTGCTGCTGCTCAATACTATAAGCTGAAAGCTTAATAAATTGAATTTTATAATCTGAAATTTGATAAGCTGTAGAAATATTGAAAAATCACACCAACAAGGTACTCGGAATAACCTTACTCATGTATCGGTTAGTACCGATATACATGGGAAAGTTATTCAATTCTGTAATTCTTAAATTCTGGTCATATGCGCGCAGAGTTGAAATTATGTAATTCTTGTCATACACTATGGAAACACATTCACAATAGTGTAGAGCTGGTGAAATCACCATAACTGATCATACATTGTGGAAACACATTCACACCAGTACAGACTAGGGTCAAATCACTTGAGTACTTTCTGGTGATTTTAAAAATAACTTTAACTATACTGAAATATTTAATACTAAATTAGTATGCCAATGAAACGATTTAACTGAACTAAATTTAATTTTAAAAATGACTGTTTATAAATCAACTTTATTCTAAAAATTATGCTGTCAAATCAATTGTATGAAATAATAAATTTTTTCATATAACATAAATTTAATAAATATTAATTTCTGAAAAAAAGTCTGTATCCACTTACTGCTCCATGGATAAAAGTCTGGCTAAATTAATGGGCATCTCTAAACTTCCACGTCATTACCTGAAATAACAGTATAATAACTCAAATTAAAATATAAAAATTAAACTAATGCAAAGTCACCACTTAATTACTCAACTTTTAAATTTTCTCTTGAATCTCCATTTCTTATTACTTGAATGAATTTCCCAAATTTTCTTCTTTCTAATGATTTATCAACTAAGCATCATTCATTATCAAATCCATTAAATCACTTGCACTTGCTTAAATTGAATACCTTATACAACCCTGACACATAATTTAGTCTACTACATAAACTTCAGTATTTGTCATATAACTTCATTCAAACCCTTAAAATGTGAAAATCAAAGACTAGACAAAAGCAACACTAAAATTCCATAATATGGAATTGTAAAACCAGTTTCTGTACACTGAAAATTATCACCAAAACAATTGACAAAAATGACACTTTTCTGGGCAAAATTACAAAATCAGCACCTGTGTAGGATTTTGTCCAAAAATTGCTTATAATACTTACTTAAAAATGGAGAAATCAACCCCAATTCCTTAATTTAAACGCTTGACATTATATAATCTCAAGAAAATCAAAGAATGACTATCTTTTTCATAAACCCTTTTTCGAAGTTTCACTTTTCTTCAACACCCATATTTCAATATGAATTTCTTTAACATATTCATGTTTAATACCTCGAATATATGACAATAACCTCTAATTCTTGCTAAACTTCAAATGCAAGCAAATTGTTCATAAACCCTAAAAATTTAATTAAAATACTTTCACTTACCTTTTGAGCAGAAGGAGAAATCGAAAACTTATACTTGAAGAATAGACACTACATCTTCCTTCTTCCTCTTCTTCTTCTCTTCCCCCCCCACCCCCCCACCCCCACCCTTATTTATAAACTAAACCCCCAAGGTTAATGACGGCCATTTAAAACCCTTAAGTAATATCAATTATAAAATAAACCCCATAAAATAATTTATACAATTTAAGTCCCTATTTGATTTGGAATTTGACTAGTTGATATTGACCTTTGACAAGTATGAAATGGGGTGTAACAACGAGTATGTAGTTAATTGTGATAGTCAAAGCGCATTAGATTTGAGCAAGAATGCTACTTATCATTTTCGGATGAAGCACATTGATGTGAGATATCATTGGCTAGGACAAGTAGTGGCAGAACAATTGATATTGTTAGAGAAGATTCATACCGAGAAGAATCCAATTGATATGATGACAAAAGTTGTGACCCGAGAAAAGCTTAAGCTTTGTGCTAGATTGGACAGCATGAACTCTCACTAATCTGCTAGAGGATAATCTCACTTCTCAATGGGCTGGAGGGGGAGATTGTTGTATAAGTATGGGCTTGTCCAATCCATAAGGAAAAAGCTCAATTCTCTTTATTTTCTTATAGGTCAACAAAATTGGCCACATATACATATATAATTTCTCAAAAAAATTGATGGTGAGCAAGAAGAGACAAAATCGAGGCTGCTGGGAAGAAAATTAAAATTGTGGCTACTATATAAAATATAGAGAGACTTTAGCTAGAAATAAAAAAAGAAAACCAAGCTGTTGGAAGAAGGAAAAATAATTGGAAGTGAAGTTTTCTTTCAATCTTTTGAGTGTGGTTTACACAAATTATTTTCCTCTACATAATACAAATTGAGATTTTCTCTAATGTGTATTTTGGGTACTCTAGAGATATAGTATTCAACGTAAGTTCTCACAAGGTTAATCGTGATTTGTGGTGAGATTATTTGTTGTCCTTCGAGAGTAATTATTGTGGTATTTCCAATTTGTTGAGAATTCAAGTTTTGGAGTATACACTTGAATATTGTAATCTATTTTTTTATTATAGTGGATTTGGCCGAAATTACCCCGTGTTTTTTTCCCTTTACACTAGAAGTTTTTTCCATGTCAAAATTTGGTGTTATGTTTTGCTTGTTTTTACTTTTATCATTTATTTGCATATTCAATCACTCTAATTGGTTACTTGGATTGGTGAATTTATTTTTGCAATAAGTGAAATTGCTCAACAAGAAGAACATCAAATAGGCAAAAAATCAAAAAGCGTCTACAAAGTGAAAACATAAATTTACTTATGGATTTCCACATAACCCTTCATGTAAAGTTCAACCTTTCAATTGAATCTTAGGTATCAAAATGGATCCTTTTAAGACGATCAACTATATATATATAGCCATATCAATCAATCTTTCTAGCATGTGACTATATTATTGAAATTTTAATATCTTAGTGTCTTTCTTCTTTATTGAAGATCGACTAAGTCACATCTAAGCTCTTATTTTTTTAACATGGTTTACTTCATAGTTCATTTTCTCGTAAGTTCTTTACTCGTGACAGTAAATTTAGACAATTTAGACAGTAAGGGTGGGTTTGTCACCCATTAATTGGGAAGTATGTATTATGGAACAGTGATTGATGTTGAAATATGTGGTTAAAAAGGAAGGAAATTTTTTTATTTACGTGTAATATTATTTTTATAAAGAATGTGCAGTTGAAAATAAGTACTCTAGAAAAAATAATGGGAAATAATGGGAGAAAATGGATGACAAACAGATGCTAAATGTAGACCCAATTGATGCATTAAATTTAGACTTAAATATTATAATGGTGGATTGTTAATCTAACTGTATTTTTTTATTTTTTTTCCTAGGGAAGGGTTTTCCCCTTCTTTGCTATGTGGTACAATAAAATTTTCTTTATGTAGAGTAGTTTGATTATTATTATTATTTTTATTTTTTTGTAGAGTTGTTTGATATAGCTTCAATTATTTCTCTAGCTATGATTCAATGTTTGGTAACTTTATGCACAATTTTTTAATGGAAGTTTGTAAAAGTATTTTAAAATGATAATTTATGAAACGTTTTACACGAATACTTTAGTTATTATCTAATTTTATTTTTTTGTAGAGTTGTTTGATATAGCTTCAATTATTTCTCTAGCTATGATTCAATGTTTGGTAACTTTATGCACAATTTTTTAATGGAAGTTTGTAAAAGTATTTTAAAATGATAATTTATGAAACGTTTTACACGAATACTTTAGTTATTATCTAGCTCTGAGTCTCTCTCTTCTGTGCCATCTATTTTATTCTCGATCTTGTAAATTCTCTTGCAGCCAATGGCTTCTTTTCCTATATACAATGAGGCAGGTCTTATTATATTTTTCATATTCATTCATTTTTGCTTGTAAAGCATCTCTCCAACAAGGAAGGTAAATGATTCGAGTTCATGAGAAGATTGAATAGACATAGGTAAGCTTGATCTTTTGGAAAGAAAAATACGGAAGATAAGATCAAAATCCTTTGATTGGATAAGAAACCTGAGAGCATTGATGAACCAGAGAGAGCAATTCAGAATTTGAGGAAGAGATAGAAAGGAAAGGAACTGTGCTAGACTGTTGATTGCCTGACCTTGGAAAAGAGAGAATAAACATGTTGTGCCATGTGACTAGAATCCTTTGTGGCTAGTTAAACCGGTTGACAATCGACAGAAAATGTTGAGCAAAGCTGTTAGCCTAAAGATTGAGGCTGATTCGTAACATTAACTGCAAAAGAATGAGGTTTGAGTTGGCGAACGCGAGAATGCTGCAATACATCAAAATCATCATTCTATCCCAAGGCTGATTAATTAGGTTAAGGTACAAAAGAAAGTATTCACAATTTTATAATTATATGTGGAATCTATAAAATTCAATAGAAGTTTGTGAATTCTACACAAATCAACTAATCACTTAAATTAATGTGTAGAACAATATTTAAAAAGTTTAAATTAAGTATATCACCTTTCATGGTCTCAAAAAATTGATATAGAGAGTCAAGTGTTATATTTTTGGGTAAAATAAAGGACTGGTCACTGAACTTTACTTTGTGTAACTACTTACTAACCAAACTTTAAAACGTAACTCAATGCTTACTCAAGTATCATAAACACAATTCATCCATAACTAAGATGGAATTTGTTTGAAGGATTTGACGAAATTGTACATGTGGTGGATGTAAATTTGACTTGGCAATATTTAACCATTAAAACTCTTGACACCAACAACTCGTCCTTCCAAATAGCACCTAACACAACTTAAACAATTCGCAACATATTTTTAAGCGGTTGAGAAAATTAAAACTTCAAGGCCTTTTTCTCAAAAATCACACCCAAATCAATCAACCTATCTCTAATTCAAATGTTCAGTCTTCTCTTGGAAATGCCTCAATCGTCAAGTGATCTCCAAAATTTGGAAGGAACAATATGCTTCATGGAGAAACTCCTACCAAAAGGAATCATGGACAAAAAAGGAGGCAGGCAATTTCATGGGCATAAAAAACTATAAGTTCTGGTTTTGAGCTCTAGTGTGAATATTCTTATTCCATTTTGGCGGTTCAAAAAGTTAAGAGTATATAGTCATTGATCATTGAGAAGGGAAATAATTGGAACAATTTTGTCTACGTACTGTCTGTCAAAATGCCTCTTAGAGCATTTGTGTTGGCCTATGGTTTATGGTACGATAATTTGTATCAGGTATTTTGTGTCGTTTTTATTTTTATCTATGTAAATCTCCTTTGCCATATTTTTGGATATCCTAAATGTCAATGTGGGTTATTATTTGAAGTTAATATAGTATGTAAATCCCACGATGGATTCCATCAGGGTCAATCCCATACCCAAAAGAACATATCATTTACCCAAAAAATAATCATACCAATTTAAATAAGTTCTTATCTTATAGCGGTCATGAACTTATACATACATCTAAGGGTTATTGTAATAGCTTTTAATGGCAGCCACTGCATGTGCACATAGGATGCATGATAGTTTCCATCTCCTACATGCACAAGTGTAATTGGTCAAATTAACAACATACTCCATTGATGGACATACAACATATGATTGAGGATCCCTAGACCAATCTACCTCACACTCATTTGCTATGTTAGTGATATTGTTTATCTTCTTTTGAATTTTTGGATATAATGGTCCTTCCACCCTCTTCATCTTATCCTCTTCCCATGAGAATTCTTTTTATGAAACTAATTTGGATATCTATTAGGAAGTCAAAATCAATTTTTCTCTATCTTCTAAGAGAATCTCGTTGAAACACTCTCACATGAAGTTCAAGAGAATGTCAGTTTTGGGTTTAGTGAAGAAAAGAAACTTACTCCACAATTGATGTGTCCTGTTTCATTAACCATTTTCATAGGCATGTTTATTGAACTTATTTATAGATAGTGAATCTAGTGGCCCTTTATAAGTAGTCTTTAAGAGTTTTATCTTTGAAGTCTTTCCTAAAGAAGTTCATGTACATATGTCGTACATGGTACCTCTGTTCATTTAGAGGATAGCTAGCTTATATATTATTTTGTGACCTTTTTTGCCCTTTGATCATTAAAGTCCAAATGTCTAAGGAACCAACCTAAAGTAGCCATATTCTCCCTCTCTACAATGGCATATGCCATTGATATATACAATCATTGGCATCTAAGCCAACCTCTGAAAGTTTCTGACCCTTAAAGCTTCATTTCTAGAAATAACCATCTAATCTATAAATGGACTATAATCCCTAGAAAGCCTCTTTTACATGCTTCTAAGCATATATATATATGCCTTGAAATTTCGAATCCTTAACTGCAATTATAACCATAGACCCAAGATTTGCTCTTATCACTTCTGCAGCATATGACCATAGTAGCCCAAATTGATGTTCATGTGACCCTTCCATCAACAATCTAGCATATTTCCTAGTCCTAGATACAGCCATCCTATTAGTCTTCAGCTTTAAATTATTTTTTATCGTCTTTAAAAAATTAATAATTTTTCAATTGGAATCAACCTTAAGCCCTTGTTTGGGCTTCATTAAAATTAATTTATAAGA